CTCCTTAATATTATAAAATTTTATAAATATATATATTTTATAGAAGTTTAACCAACATTTTTCATTAGTGGAAAGTTAAAAAGTTCATCACTTTAATTAAATTATAATTTCCATATCTCAAAATTTATTCCCCTTTCAATCATTTTATGCAATACTTGAATTTTTTACCCTGAGCTTTAAACTTTGACAAAGGTTAAAAAAGACCTAATGTGAAATTAAAATGCTATTATTTTCAAAGTTATCACCTGGAAACGAAAATATGTCAGAGATACAATGACAGACTGATAGATCAACCTTTGACCGTTTCACCTCAAAATTATATATATATATATATATATATATATATATATATATATATATATATATATATATATATATATATATATATATATATATATATATATATATATATATATATATATATATATATATATATATATATATATATATATATATAAATCTTCTTATGTACACACTGTAATTGGGAGTCATGATTAAATTTCTTTGCAATTGCTTCATTGAAATCTATGATATTATTATTTTGACATTAGACCTTCAGATCTCAAAATCAAAATAGGTCTTGTTCAAGTAATATAGTATTGTAATATATTTCATAATATATCCCATTATAAAAGTTTATGAGTACTTTAAGAGATATTATAATTACCTCACCTACCCACCTTTCTAGCTTAAGCCACAATAGAGTTTCTCATTTGATGAAAAAATTACCCTGTGACAGAATTTCCCCCTTTAGCGTCCGGATTTCATCAACAGGAGTCTTTAACACTGATTTCCTATCTTATGATTAAAGTTGATTTTTAATTGGAATCACAAAATCAGAATCAAAGGAGAATCAAAATCGCGATTCATATCCTCATTCTCCTGTAATCATTCACTTGTTATCAATTTTAAATTAAGTAAACATTATAAAAAGGAAGTAAATTAACCATATATGAATAATTGCCAAATTTATTTTACATGTATGTCCTTATGTCTAATTTACGGAAGCCCAATAGTGCAAACCAAAAATAATTTAAAAGTAAAAACGAAATTATTGAAGAAAAAACGAAATTATTGAAGAAAAAACGAATTATTAAATAAAAAACGAAATTATTAAATAAAAACTGAAACTAAAATATACGGAATTTATAGATGCGCATGGTAAGGGCCTAACCCATGAATAATTCCATAAAGCACACGTGTCATAAAGCATCACTTAGTAATTATATAGACCTGATTTTGTTCCGACATTAAAACAAGTGTGGGGGAAATGAAAAATAAAAAAGAATCTTAGGTTAATAACGTAAAAAAAAAACATTATGTGCCCACAGCCTGTAATTCGCATTTATGAAGTGCTTCATGACTGTTCAAAATATGTTTACTTAGTGAGGACGTAGTGAGGATGACTGTTTCTGCTGACATAAAATTAATGACATTCCAAAAAAGCTCATGAATCCCTGAAAGGTCAAGACCTTGCGTATCGTATTACTGAATTCCCCCCGAAACTAAACCTAGCGCCCTGCCCGTGTACCCATAAATCTTAGGTTGTTGAAACAATAAAGAGAATAATTTGAATAATTTGAGGGATTTGTTATGCAAGTGTATGCATTGTTTGTTCACAACTATCACTGACTTGTAAATACAGATTGAGAATTTGTCATTTAGGATATGTGAGAACAAATAGGTAGTTAGTGCATCACTTCTAATTAAGCTTTGATAAAATGACCAAGAAATTAAAAGTGTTTTGCTTAATTTTTAATTAAGGAAGAAATCATTAAAATCTACTCATTGTAACCACTTTTACTTGTTTAATTTTTTCATTTGCTCTCTTTAAAGAAATTTTTATAATTTCAAACAAACCCACAAAATCCGATCGGTAACATATCATTTTACAGCATTATTGTGCTGTGCGATAATTGAAAAATGATTTATAGCCATGGGAATTTTCTAAATGTTATAAAGTCCAGCGGTTGTAAACATCGAAATCTTAACAGACATGTATATCTTAAATATTTGTGCAATTTATTAGCATTATCTCTTTGATGTTTCATGTCCAGATTCATTATTTGCTGATAATTAGACCTTCTGAGCTGAGGGTTTAAGAAAGCTACAGTTAACGTAAACTTGTCATCGAATTACTGGTCAATTCATCAGAGTGGTCAAAGTTCACATTAATCATGTTTTTGTTTGTATGTTGTTTAACGTCCCTCTCGAGAATTAATTATTCATGTTAATGTAAGATAAAGACATAGATCTAAGCATATTAGATAACCAAAGGTAAAATTCTTCCCTATTCATGTATTGTGATTGTCTACTACATCTGGTTACGGTTATGTTGATGGTCATGTATGTTATCGATATGGGAATAGCTGAGTGTAAATGCAAATATCACACTTGTTACGTGCGCTTTATGGAATGACTAATGGGTTCAGACCCCTACATGCACATCTATAAATTCCGTATTTTAGTTTCAGTTTTTTATTTAATAATTTCGTTTTTTATTTGATAATTTCGTTTTTAATTTAATAATTTCATTTTTTTTTTTATTTAATAATTTCGTTTTTCATTTTTTTAAATTTATTTTTGGCTTCCGTACAATCTGTTTGAAATTAAAAGATAAACTCACTTGTGCTATAATTTGTCTAATACTAATACTATCTTGAATTGGACAAAATTAATAAATGAAATGAATATGAAGTCTTCCACCTTCTTGTTGTCTTTATGTGTGTCTATAAGGATAAAAATAAAGTATATTAGGCTGTTATACCTTGGAATCATTTTAGATACTTAATTGAAACTTTTCATGTTCACAAAAAGCGCAAATCAGGGCTCCAATTTGTCCCTTATAATACCCTTTCCTTCATAAAATTATATTAATATAGCTTATGTAATGTGTGGGATATCGAATCAAAAGTTTATATGATTAGAAATTAGGCCATCTTATAGCAATTTATAACATATAACTGTGATATTTGAAATATCAATAATCGTTTCCAATAATTAATATATAATTAACGATCTGTCATACCAGCAAATTTAAATACGTGATAAAAATGTTAATATTAGGAGATTTAGTGCACAGGTGCCTGGTATCATAAAGTGCTAACCGGTAAAACATGGATTAAGTATGCAATTTTGAAACCCAAGTTCATTACACGCTCCCAAACCTTTCATGATCAAACATAATATGTTCTGTAAACTATGTTCAATCAATAACTCAGAAAGTGAATAAATAGGTCAACAATTTATCTGGCTTAACTGAAAATTATTGGCAAGATTGAAACAAAATACTATATCCGGACAATGACCAGTCCATATGAAGGGCCTTAGCGTAAAGAAACTCTCTGAATTTCTATATAACTCTAAGGCTTCAAATATTTCATAGATACGAACAATATCTTCATAAACTGCAGATTAATTCACTGTGGCACCTATGGGTGCATATAAAATGTTTCATAGCTTTACAAAGTAATGAAGCACAAACTTGGTACTATAAACAAGATAATATTCACAAAAATCATTCTTGGGAAGTGTAGGGCCACATCTGTTTTGTACGACTTTGATTAATTGCTAGAGGCTAGGAGATGGAGATAAGGAGAATGTACATGTATATAAATTCTCTCTGTATCTCCATCCTTTAACCTATAGCAATTAACGCCATGCATATTATTCAATACTTGCAACTCTTAGGTTTGCTACACTCTTTTTTAACGACTAGATTTTGAGAGTACCTTTCTGTATAATTTATCGGTATACTTACGATCTGACTTTCTTGTGCTTCATCTTCCTGTTCTTAGTCATTTACATTTGATTTTGGTGCATCAGCTGGTAATTGTGTAAGGAAACGTAGCCATAACTTGGAAAATGCAGTTCTATGCCTAAATTCTGAAGTCTTTACATGAAAAGATTGTCGGGCTCCCGATGAAATTGTTTTAATATATATATATATATATATATATATATATATATATATATATATATATATATATATATATATATATATATATATATATATATATATATATATATATATATATATATGTGTGTGTGTGTGTGTGTGTGTGTGAGGGTGTGTGTGTGTGTGTGTGTGTGTGTACGCATATTTAGTAAATACACTCCAGTAAAAGCAATATAATCCCATTTCAGTAGCTGAAATGAAAATTTGAAAGGGACAAAACGAGATAATACTTGAGATTTGAGAAAATAAACGATCGTTGATTGTATGTTGTTTTTTACGTATCGTTCGAGAATTTTTCACGCATATTGAGACGTCACCATATACCGGTGAAGGGCTTCAAACTAAGATTTTTACTCGGCACTCAGAACTATTGAGCAGTGAGGCATCTTAATCGTGCCAACGCCTATTGGACACATGGCCACGGTTTTTAAGGTCTTATTAGAAGAACCCGCAACTTTCACTTCAAAGTGCCGAGCGCTATTTTTATCGACTTATGTCAGTCGCGGCCGTGATTCGAACACACGACGTTCCGATCACGGAGAGAGCGCTCTACTGACTGAACTACCATGACTGTGAGTTCATCTATGAAATACACTGAAATGATAAAGCTATTTGCATAAATTAAATTATTGCAAAGTCATTTTCTTAATCAAATGCTCTGAATAACTGCTATCCTGTTCAGCCATTGTGATTGATATGACAGGAAATCTCCCCCTAGGAAACTTGCATCAGATGCTGATAAATTTGATACGGTAATTTTTTGGGTCGCCAATAAACCCTTATTCCCAAAGCGCTATTGAATGTGAATAAACTTTATCTAGGGCACAGGAGACAAGCAAAGCATGTTACAAATATCAGAATGAAAATATAATAAACCTCTTACAGCGTGAAGTGTTAACTCTACTAGCACATGCATTATATCATTTAAACTTCCTCATTGATAACCGACCACTTGTTTATCATTTATGGTAAAGGCAGACAAGTTAAATGAGAAAGCACTCATAGTAGCCACACTTCAAAAACACACAGCATGTAGGACGAATTTCGCAGCAACATCTATGATGAATAACAAGGCATCAATTCTCATCTGGTTTTCTGTGTCCATGTTTATTGACTTTTTTCATAGTGATGCACGGGAAAATAATTCTTGTTGGTTCAGTAGCATTGAGTGTATTTGTTTTTCTTATGATATTGGAATACGTGTGAATTGTTCAAAACGGAATCTTAGTGTTATACCAAATATGAACGACAGCATCACGTGGATAGACCTCAGTAAAAATAAGATCAGAGTGATTCAGTCAAAAAGTATTAAACTGCCAGAAAAGCTGACTTATCTCGATTTATCTGAAAATAACTTAACAACTGTAAAAGGAAATCCTTTCAAACATTTGACAAAACTTGAGTTTTTGAACCTAGAGGGAAATCAACTGGAACATTCAATTTACGAGAAACTATTTCAATCACTGTCGTCTTTAGAAGTGCTTAACATAAAAAGAAATAGCGACAAGAAAAAATCTATATCTTTTCCAGGAGATGCTTTTGCAAATCTTCTTTCTATATCAACCATAAAAATGAATGGAATACCAAACACAAGATTTGGAAAAAGTTTCTTGCATTTAAGGAATCTTAAAGTTTTAGATATGTCTGGGATTGCAGGCAATTGTATTTTTGAATATATTGATTCGAAAATGTTCTCAAATTTGCAATTCCTTGAGGTTTTGGATCTTTCCTACTGCAATGTAAAGGATATTGATAAGGGATCGTTTAGTAACATGCCAAGGTTACAGCATCTGAATATTTCCTACAACCGTCAGCTAGGCTTCGCATCTATGCCTAATGTAACTTACAATTTGAACAAAACTAAAATTAAATCTCTGAATATTAATGGAGTTAATTGTGTAGCGGGAGTTGGAACAGAAATTAAATGTCATCACCTTCTTTCTCTCCAATACACTAACCTTACAGAATTACATGTAGCCAGTAACCGATTGGAAATTTTAGAACCAGGAGTCTTTAAAAATCTTCCTAAAACTTTAGAGAAATTGTCAGTGGCTGAAAACAAACTAACATCTGGCCTATATGTACTTGAATTTAGTATGCTGGAAAACTTGCGAGTTTACAATACGAGCTTGCAGAAGCATCCAGCAAAGTTTCCTAATTCAATTATAGATAAATGTATTGAAAAGAGAGAATCGTGTAATGATGTTCTCCATTGCCAAGACGTTACAAATAACCAAACTCTGAATAACATCGATACTACTTCAAGCTTTATGTGGCATTTTCCACGAAATCTGGAAGAAATTTACGCTTATTCCAGTCGATTATATTTTAAGATTCCTGAATTTAACATCTCTGCACCGAGCCTTAGGATTGTAGAATTACAGGATAACTTTTTGCACTCTTTTGAAGGTCCTGTTTACATTCAACCAACAAATAACCAAATCACACTAGATGTTTCAAATAACTTTTGCTCACATATATCCCCAAATGCCATTAAAAATGGTGGACAACTCCAGAATTTCAATATATCACACAATGACATAGGTCAAGACCTAGAGAAAGATGTAATGGGAAAAACATTTGAGTCTTTTGTTTCCCTTGAGAACTTAGATATATCATTTTGCAGAATAACGAAACTCTCAAATCTAGTGCTAAAGAATTCTTCTAAGCTTAAGGTTTTAAATGTCAGTAACAATCAGATATCAAGATGGAATGTAAAAATTGATCATATGACAAAATTATCATTGATCGACATCTCCCAGAATCGGATAAGATCCTTTGATGAAAAAGTCCGAGTGCATTTGGAGAATGCCTTTCAGAGGTCTAAGTTAATGGTAGATCTTTCTGGTAATCTTTTAGGTTGTTCATGTGATAATCAAAATTTTCTTCAATGGATCAGAATAAACAGAGCTAATTTCATAGATATTCAGCTCTATCAGTGTTACCCTGATAAAATAAAATTTTCATTTAAAAATTTGGATCAATCAATTTTATCTTTAGAGAACATTTGTAGATCATTTTTGACTTGGTATATAACAGGATCTGTTTCACTAGCCGTAATCATCAGCTTGTTGACGGGAATATTGCTTGTAAAAAACAGATGGAAGATTCGCTATATTGTGTACAAAACTAAACTTAAATTCCGAGCTAGGGACAAACTGAATGTTCAAAATTCCACTAATTTAAACTACGAATTCGATGTCTTTCTATCTTACGCTGGAATGGAAAGAACATTTGTATTGAAAGAGGTGATACCTCGGCTTGAAACCACTGGTGGATTGCGTCTTCTTGTTAGAGACAGGGACTATCTCCCGGGATTTTCAAAAGTAGATTGTATAATGACTGGAATTCATGAAAGTAGAAAAGTTCTCTGCATTGTTTCAAAAAGATATTTGAAGTCAAAGTGGCGTGACTATGAACTAAACATGGCTAAAGTGGAGGAGATAAAGGACCGTGAAAGTGCAGATTTTGTTATACTTATCTTGTTACCGGAAGTTTACAACAGCGGCTATCCGAGTAAAGTTATGGACCTTGTAAAGAGAGAGTCTTTTATTGAATATCCCGAAGAATCTTGTGCTTATGACGACTTCTGGGAGAAACTGATTAAAATATTAAGGAGCAATTAATTCAAAGTTGATGTTGTTTGCGATACATTTGTTTTGACTGATTTGAAAATGTGTAGAAAAGCAATCTTCTTAAATTCTGAGTACATATTGATTTATTGCAATTTATTTTATTACATTGGCATTCAAAATACATATTTTTTCTCCTGTTTATTTAAAACAATTCACAGTTAATATTTTTCAGTCATTTACTCACATACAGACACATTTAAGATGAAATATCCACTTAACGCAGAGTCCTTTATGACACCTTTTTAATCATAAAAAAATCTGCAATGGAAATATAAATACCTAAATTATCTGTCATAAGGAGAAGTAGGCTATATTTTATCTTTAGTTTACTAACATATCACAAAGAAACGCAGTCTACGCCCTAACTACACTATCAACGTATTCAAAACATGTACTGTTGTAAACTATAGCCTGCTATTAAAAAAAACATAACTAAGGAAATTATTTTTATTCGATATTTGAAAGATGGAAAATATTTGCTGTCTCAGTGGAACCAAAATGATATTTAGATCGTTGTGCCTACAAAATATTTTAGCTAAGAAATTCTATATCTGTCTTCTTACTCACTGAGTTTTTGTTCTAAAAAAGTCCGACTTACTGGATGGGTTTGAACCGTTCTTCATAGATGCTCAAGAGGTGCTTGATCATTGATCATTGAGTATATTACATGTGACAGCAAGGGTTATATTTTGTTCTAAAGGATCCAAAATTTGTACTTTAAGAACATCCGCTCCTCAGTCAGGAAGGATATCTCTTTAATTCATAAATAAATTTAAAAAGTCTCAAAATGAAGCTTGAAATAGTAATCGTTTCGTGAAACAATTTATAATTTCTTTGAAGTAAATCATTTACGGTGCGCACCAGATGTGCATTTCGACAAATTGTGTCTCTTCAGTGTCTGAGAAAAGGTTTTATAAAAAGTTGGTAGTTGTACCCCGTACAAGTATACAAAAAGTTACATATTTAGACCAATCCAATTTTTTTTAATCTAGTTTTAGATACATGTACCAATGTTTATTACTGAGAATAATAAGAAATTAGAAGTAATTTATGGTGTTTAGCAATGATAGCAAAGGCTTTATACATCATACATTATAAAACAATAGAAGTAAATAGAAGAAACTAAAGTATTGTTTAAGGTTAAAAATCACTCAATCTTCTTTAAATGCCTTTTTACCCTAAAATATATTTGTTGATCAATATTCAATAAGAAAATGTATAGGAGGTATTTTTATTCGTTTTTCCTTGAGAGTTTTTTGAGAGTACTAGTATTTTCCTATACGATATGATTAACTTTAATGAAATTTAAAGAATTACTAGGGGTAAATACACATTAGGCTGTCTAAAAGCCATGCTATGCTTAACGTCACCCACGCGTAGGTTCAAGAGAAAAAACAAACAATTCGGAATTTAAAGTATCCGCTTGGTTCGGTTTTCCATTTAGAGACACATTTCCGCATCCCGTGTGAAATAAAAATTTGCTGTGAAATCGCAGTCGGTGTCTTATAGGAAGAAAACTAGTGATGTACATAGTATGCGATCATAAATGAAGCATAGATGGTTTTATAATTAATGATAATGTTTCATTTGGTTAGTGTTTTATGTTAGTGGTAAGATCACAGACTCTCATTTCTTCATCATTTTTGCTGAACCATTCACTGTGTTGGAGATAGACAAGAGTTTTGAAAGTGTAAAGTAATGAGTGTTTCGAAATCAATATTTTATAACACAAATTTTAGTTATATTTATATCAATTTGATTTTATTTGATAGTTTAATCTCAAAATATTTCTATTGAAATTAAAAGGAAAAGTAAGTTGATCTCATTATACACGTACAATATTAAAGGGGTTGAAAATATAAGACATTGACAATTTAGCAGAAGAAGCTTACAGAAGATGAGGGTTTTCAAATGAAAGAGAGGAAGAAATGAGGGTAGAGGAAAGCATTCTAATGACACCTGTCTTGTTTGTGTAGAAATCAAGGTAAAATAATCTAACAACCATGGTACAACAAGTCCCATTATGTGCATAGAAACCCTAAGGATAATCTTTGAAATTCACTGGGATTCAAATCAAAATGATAAGATTATGGATATAGATTTGTATTGAAATATGTAATGTTTTTCTCAAGGTTAATTATATGAAACCCTAAATTGTAGAATGCATTTGCAGCTATGCTTATAATTAGGGATGTCAACGAGTATCCGGTTAACCAGGTACTTGATCGAACGTCCGAGTATCGAATACCAAAATCGGTACTCGGTTACTCGGATGAATTTCTTTTTTTTCATATTTCAAAGTGCATATATATACTAAAATCTTTTCAAAAATGTTATTTAAATAGGCACTGTCCATGTGTATACAGTAATTAGCGTCACCTTCACCAGGTAATACCCTTTATCGCCTATGGCCGTGTATATGACTAATATCTCTATAAATAACATTTCTCTCCCAGTTAACCTGATCTTACTGATTAATAGCTGCCGGTGCAACGCCGACGATGTCATAGCGTTTATAAAATTGATAAATAATGTTGCTTCTTTTTTTATTTTAAAATTTCGTTTGAAGCAGAAATTGGAGAGTGCATATTATTTTCATTTAGTAGCCGACGTTCCAATCTTACACATTTTAGAGTCATCGAAAGATCGTGTGATTAATTCTTTGAATAGACAATTTTCTATAACCCAGATCATGATTCCAACTTCTAGAGAAATTGATCTCCTTGTATGATGTCCTGCTTCTTATTTTTCAATTTGTCGTCATTTTTGTTGGTTTACCAAGCTCTACTTTCATCGGAAAAACCAATCAAGCCATCCTTGAACCTCTCTTACCAGGTATAAACTAGTCTCTAAGATAAGTTTATGTAATTCAAGAGTTTTCATCCCCTTTCCCTCATAAACAAAAGTCACCCCCCCCCCCCCCGACGTCGCCATTTCTGGCAAAATCTAACGAAAATTAATTGTGCATATACCGTTATTAAATTGTCATTTTTGATATGTAAAACAAATGAATTTTCATACATTAGAACCACATATCACAAAAATTTTGCCAATGTAAATTTTATCATATAATAGTTCCGTATAATAGTGGTAATAAACAAAACATCACTGATAATGCTATTTTTAAATAGTAAAAAAAAACTGTGATACGCCGACCACAAATTTTTGATTTTCTTTAAAGGGTTTTTATCACGTATTTAAATTTCTTAAAAATGAAATATTATATTCTTGAAACATATAATGATCGTTTAATTATGAAATAATTTTGAAAACAGTTATAATTGGGCAATTAAACGCCTGTAATATAGAGTTCTCGAAGTAAAAATCTCCACTAATTACATGTAGATAGGGGTCACGTGGTACTGAAACGTCATAGGTGTCAATGGACAATTAGAACTCGAAAAGCTTATACATGTATATCGTAAGAGAAATATATCAAATAGATTTTGACGTTAGATAAATAGACAACACAATAAGGTCGGTGAAAACTTTGACATCAACGACATTCTTTTAGTTATGGACGGTCAATCTTTTATGTATGAACGTCTAGCAGAGAGAAATAACCAAGAAAATATGCCGACAATAAGAGAGGACACCGAAGACGAAGCCGTAGACAACTCGGGACTTGGACTAAATAGAACGAATTACTAAAATTGACTTCGTAAATATCTATAAAAATGAGGATTTTAATTCAACTTCTTCAATATATATATATATATATATATATATATATATATATATATATATATATATATATATATATATATATATATATATATATATATATATATATATATATATATATATATATATATATATCCTGTATATATCTTCTATCTGTTACAGTGACTTGAACAGTGTTCAATGGTGCCGTATGCCTTTACGAAGTGCACAACATTCGTATTAGATTCTGTGTCACTTTAAAAATGCGTGTTGGGTATTTTTTCTCGTTTTAGAAAAGTACCATGTCCTTAAAATATTTCAAAGTATAGAAAAAAAATGCGATCGGACATAAACGATTGTTCAGAATGGAGACGAAGCCTTCGCGTTTGCAGAAAAAAGGTCCCCTTCCACCTCTAGACCAAGTATAGGAAATATGAAAAAAAAAGTTCCTAAATGTTTTCTTGTGCATATTTCTGCATCCAGAAGCCACAAATTATTCCTTAATAGCTATGAATTATCCAATTATCACTTATTTATTTACTAACAGGTTTAATAGACACAACAAATGAGCCGTTTTGTATACACAATAAGTACTTTGCCTGACCACGATTGACACCTATGACGCCAGAGCATGTAAACTTTGTCATATCAAAAAAATTTGAGACGTGATAAAAATCCTTAAAATGCAATGTCCATATACAAATGAGATGACAGCCTTATAGTATTTTACCATGATAACAAAAAGATCATTTCCCAATATTGTGCAAGAATGAAAAAATTTGGTCAGGCACTTTATGAGATTTTTTTTCTGGGACAACCTATAATAATATATGTAATATATACTATTACGCGTACAGGATGTAACCCTTGGCATAAATTGTGCGTTCATTCATAACTGAAATAAATTCACCGTTGCATACTATTGCGCAAAAGTGAAAATCGACAGCAAGGTTTATGTCGTAGTCTGACGGAAGTCAATTGTTCAGATATGCTTTCCACTTGTGTAACCCTTCATATATCTTTGCTATCTCCCTCGGGAGAGAACACATTTAGAAAGCCGGAAGTGAAGTTTTATTGTATCCTGCAAATAATAAACTGATGGTCTGGCAATAAAAACTCACAACTGTGAACTACAATAGAGCGATTTCTATATATAGAGTGGATCTCGCTCAAGAATGTGCAATCTATGCAACATTTAACGGACCAAGACAACCCGTACATCTCCCTTTATGCTTATTCTCGACAATTTATATTAGAATATACAATAGATACAAAAGCTATTTTTAGATAATGTTGACGTCAGAAAATAGATAGGAAACGAAGGTATACGCTATTTCACCTTTATTGATTTTGATAATTAGAATTATTGGCAAAGAACCTAACTTTCAATTTTCATTCGAAGACTGCCTTGTGTAAAAAATATGATTTCAGCAAAACAGCAAAAGTATCTCCATGAAAGCAAAGTTTATCACTTTTTAAAAGCACAAGACACCGTCATAATCGGGTGTTTGAATCCATGCCAGTGGTTTATTCTTTAACAAATGAATTTCATTTGTATATTTCATTTAAGGGTGATCAGATTGAAGGCTCTGATTAAAAGTTAAGGAAGGAAGAAGTATTTTTCTTCCTGTATTTTCCCCTGGATGGGATTTTAATGATTATTTAAAACACCCCATAATTATTAAATATCTTCAATTTTAAATTAATTGTTGGTCTATAAAGAAATCATCAATCTACTTATTTCCCTATTAAAAGTATTAAAATTATTATGTGTTAATGGGTTTGTTTCCTCTAACATCCGAAAACATTTTGTCTGTAAATTGGGATTCTTTTCAATTAATTAATTTTTCAAAAAAATTATAAATACTTAATTTTTTTTTTATAATTTGTTTAATGTGTAATAATGTTTTTTTTTTCTTGTTTAACGTCCTTCTCGAGAATTTTTCACTCATATGGAGACGCCACCACTTGCCGGTGGAGAGCTGCAAATCTATACCTATACTCGGCACTCAGGGCCATTAAGTAATGAAGGATCTTTTTCGTGCCAACACCTACTGCGACATGGGACCTCGGTTTATACGGTCTTTTCCGAAGGACCGGTCTCCACGTCCCGCAGTTGATTCGAACCCGCGAGGTAAGGATCAGCTCCTTGCTCCGCGACTCTAGAGCAGACGCTCTAACCACTTTGCCACGCAGGCGACTGTAATAACGTGTTAATTAATATTTATTTCTTTTATTTTTATTCATCATTGTAATTCTCTCTTTTAAATTTAAGATTGATAAATTATTGGATAAAAATTATAAAAGTAGGTAATGTGCATTGCAATAAATCTTTGTTGCTGGCCTCGTCAATTTTTAGGCTATTTTCTTGCTATTTTTTGTACATGTACTCATATGATAAATCATCGTGGTATACATCATAACTGTCAAAACATGAAACTATAGAGCAGAATCTATGAGGCAGGAGTGGCTCAGGAAACATGCCTTGAAATCCACAATCAATTATAGCTAAGCCACATTGATTGGAGGGAAAAATGCTTGGGAAAATCATTGGGTGGTCTTTCTTGTGCTTTAAAACTTCTTGGCGATCGTCAGGGCTGTTGAAAAAAATCAATTTCATAGGCACTTTCTGTCACAAAAAGTCTGAAAAACAGAAGAGAGAACAATATAGAATACACATCTAAACTCGATTTTTTATTTCTGTTTACAATGTACATGTACATAGTATTGATGAATTGATTTAATTTTAATATGTATTTATATTTATCACTGAAAATATATATTGACTTTGCTTGTACCGCTTCGTTACATATCTAATTACATAAAATACTGACTCAAGGCATTAATTAGTTTTCTTTTTCTATGAATCGAAACGATATACTGAGAGTTCATAATACATGTATTTCCGAAATAAAAAAAAAATTAAAAAGTACGTATTGCAGGAAAAAAATGTTGGACCTAGATGCTTTTTATACTGTACCGGTAAAACAAGCATGTTATAAGCAAAAAATGAATCAAAAACTCAATATGCTAATTTTTAAATTAGATATCTTTTTGTTCTTTATCGGATTTGCTCTTAATCTTTACTAAATATACTAAATAAACTATTTCTTTCAAAGTTTACTTCCTTCCCAAAAGTAATTATTTGTAAGTAGATTCTTCAATAAACCTACCTGCTTGCAAACTTTTCGATGTCGCTCTATCCGTAGCTTTCCCCTGTCATTTTGTGATGATTTTTAATACCATTTTATAAATATACTAGCATAAATAATCCTCAATATATAATTAAGCTTCTAAAGCCAAAGTGATTCTTTAAAACATTCCTTTGCATCCTCTTTATGGTATATAGTAATTAACCATAGATGTAGGCTACCGTGCGATCTATGTTTCCAATTGCAATGTCCATGTAAAATAAAAAGCAAAATAAAAAAAAAATTTCGGAAATTAGTTTAACAATGTAGATTGATTATAGTGAATTTAGTTTTACGTGATCGTGTGTTTATATGTAGACAGACAACTTTTACATGAAATTTTCGTTAGAATAATTAAAGTATGGTTACACTTAGTCCCGCATTAAAGAATGTAATATTAAAAGGGCATATTCAAATCCCATTAAAACCTCTCTTCAATTCATCCACCTCACCCCCTTTTAACATCAAATACCTTAATTATTTATTCATTTCATACTATTAATTTCCCTTAAGGAGGGATTCTTGTCTGGTTTCTGACTAGATGAAATATTCAAAGTATATTTGTTATATGTCTTATAAAATTAGATGTAAGAGATTTAAAAGATCATATTTTTCTTTCCTCATCATAATTGTACAACTTTAAATAGAAATTGTAAACTGGGTTTGAAATCTAGCAGGGACTATATTTTTGGCGGAACGGCGGCGTATGAAAATATCTCCTTTTCCGCTTCTCAAAATTACTATAAAACGATGAATTTAGTTCAAATTTTTAAACAATCAAAGACTAAAAGACTAAAAGACTAAAATTAAAAATAATGGACTGAAGTTTTAAAATATATCAAATAAATATGATTTTTCAAACAAACTACAATTTTGTTTTTAAAACCGTCCGATCTAAGTACAGATTTGAGCCAAAATTCCATAAAAAGTGTTTTTCTCTCTAGTTAACTTTCAAAATTTTTTTTTGTATCAGTTTGTATCTTTATATGACTACTTTACCATATGTGAAAATAAGAAAAATTTAAATATACGAAGCATATAAAAATAACTTATATATCCTAAAAATCTAAGAAAATAGAGGAAATTCGGATTAGCCAATATCTATTTTAGTTAAAATATTTATGTCAATTTGGTAGTATCATCTGAGAGACCCCAATTATAATACCTTTTTATGCAAAACGAAAAACATTAAACTTTTGAAATAGAAGTAGGCATTGCGTGATTGGCAACAGTATTTTTTATTCCTAAGGTCAAGGAAAATTATAATGACCTTGACCCGATTTTGCTTTTAAAATAAAACGGTCAAATTTAATCTACTTGATACCATTACTTAATAATAATGTCTTCTTGAATCTATGAAAATTTCATTAATTTTTAAATACAAGAAATATGAGAAGAATACCTCCTTAAAAATGAGTAAACAAGGATAATTTCAAAATATGATTTTCTTCACATCTGGTGACAAAAGTAAAAAAAAATTCATTTTTGCCTTTAAAAAAATTCAAAATGATCGATATGTTCTTGTCTTGGAGTAGATTTTAATTCGATTTTTTTTATTCAAAACATCAATATGAAACTTCTAATTTTCAGATCAAGTTGTCCCAAATCTTAAAGGTCTCCGGAAACATGTAACAACTGTGCGGAATCGCGAAGAAAATAAATAATTCACAAGCCTAGTAAAAATCTCCGTGTTCTAACTCATTCATACAGTGTAGAAAACAGCCAATAAACAAACAGGTAAATTTTCGGCACTTTTTGGGATCGCTCGTAGCTTTCCGTCGTAAAAACGGAAGTGACGTTATATCTACCATAGAAAGTCACTGCGATAAAAGAAAAGTAAATGGACATCGGAAAAAGACCTGAATACCAGTAAAAGATGGTGATTTGTGCGGTTGTAAATTGTAAGAACAATCCAGAAAATACTGTTGGTGTGAGTTTTCATAGGTTTCCAAACGCTAAGAAGAAGAAAGATCTGTATTTAAAGTGGATTTACCAAGTAAACAGAGTCAACCCTGCTTCGACATCCACTACGTTAGACAAGTTATGGACCCCAAATTATCATTCTGTCGTTTGTTCCTACCATTTTACTTCGGACTGCTTTACAAAGAACCTATCTGTAGTGGACTCAATGAATCTTACAGGATTTAAAGTAAGATTAAAGCCCGATGCACACCCGACCCTTCTCCTAAGTCCACAAGTCGTCATACCAAGTATCAAGCCAGCTTTCAAAAGAGGGAAGCACAAAGGGTATGTATTTATCATGTTTATAGAAATAAGAATTTGTTCCAACAGGTCCAATACATCATATTTTTACACCTGACCCGAATGACTGATTTGTGTGTGTCCTGTTTTTAATTTTTTCCCTTTGACCCAGAGTCATAAAAACATATATTTTTAAAATAAAAACATTGCACAAATCCAAGTAAGTAAATGAGCGATATTAAACTGCTTGGAACCATTGGCAATATTTTCAATTGTGGAATATTATAGAATTTCTATATATTGTGTTGTATGTTTAAATGACATGTTTCTCTATGCTTTATTATCTTTTATAAATATGTATATTTTTATAGATAAAATAATGTATTAATGAATTTTATGAGAAAGAAAAAACAAACAACAAGCCCCTCAGCAACAAACATATACATACATTTTCACTTTATATTTTGATGTTTGAAATCAACGGCAACTATGACAGATGATGTGGTCCAGAGATCTGTGGGAACTGTGACTGATGCAGCAGGACTATCCCTCCAGTGCAATGAGGAAGATCAACAAGACACAGACCCAGAGGACAGCTCAGACGAGGACGATGAAGATTGGCTTCCAGGTGATGAATCTGATGATGACTGTGATGAAGCAATTGATGAACTGTAAGCATAATATATCTCCACCCTTTCCAAGTATTCAACTATACTCTAAAATCTGTTATAGAAAAACTGTTATTTATTCCCTTCAGATCTAATTTTATTGTGAGAAAAACCTTTTTAAAGTCTATTGCTTTTCTACTTTATATTTACTTCAAAGGAAAGTTTGATATTATTGTTTTATATTCCTCAGGGATATCACAGACCATCAAGAAGACAGAGCCCATAGAGAGAGGAAATACATAGTCTATGAGAGTTGCTTGAAAGAACTTTTGTCATCCTGTAGGAGTTGTCAAGAGCAGTGCAGAGTTGTGATAAAGAGGTCATTTGTGCGCATGTTGTCTTCCTGTGCCGCTTGTGGATTTGTGTTCAGTTGGGGTAGCCAGCCCATGACTTCAAGGCTACCTTCTGGAAACTTGGAAGTAGAAGGCAGTATTTTATTCTCAGGGGCTAGTGTATCCAAAGCTCTTCAACTGTTTAACAATATGAACATCATGTGCATTAGTGAAAGGACATTCAGGAACATTCAGAGTTCATATCTTATGGATTGATCTTGGCAGTTGAATTAGTTCAGGTAAATATATTTTATAAGAAGTATTTCATACAATAAATATACAAGTTTGAAGTACTTTGTAGATAAAAACTGATGAAAACTAGTTGTTATTTTTAATTTTTTATTCCAATTCTATAATATGAGATGAAATAGGTAAAAGTGTTTTAATGTATATTAAAAAAAGAATAACCTGGAAAAACTGAAAGATTATACAAAATCCTCATTTTGCAGGTTTCAGAGAGAGAAAACTCATATAGAATGGTGATTGAAGGTTTGAAGCGTTGCCTCCAGAGTCTGAAAGACAGGAATGTCCGTATCAATAGTTTTCTGCTCTTTTAATAATACTTAACCTTGTCTCTTGCTTGAAAGGAATATATTAACAAAACCTGAATATGATTCATAATAGGTATTCATTCCATGTTGAAAACTCCCTTGCGAGAGTTTTTCATCTATATCAAACGTCACAAAGTACCAGTGAAAGGCTTCATATTCAGACCTATACCCTGCACGCAGGCCGTTGAACAGTCAGGGTTCTTGATTTCATGAACGCCTACCGTAACGCAGGACCTATGGATTTAAGGCCATATCCGAAAGACCGATGACTTTCAATCTTAGTACCGGGAGCATGGCGAAGGAACAGTCAATACTTGTGTAATACGTCTCAAGTCTGACGCTGCGCCGGGAACGAGAATCATACCTTGACCTTCCGATCAAGAAGGGACGACCTACATGTACCGCTGGGCTACTGCGACCGGTATAGAGAAGTTTTGTCACTGAAAGATGCTATTGTACAGGGTTCATTTTACCAAACTTGATTAAAGGTGACACTCTTGGACTCTTAACCAGTATTTTACATAATCGAAATGCGCAATCTCTAGATTATTAACAAGAAGTTCTTTAGACATTTTTCCTCTTACTGCCATGTGACACTTCCAAAGACAAAAAAGGAAACAATAAAAATTTGTGTTATGTTTGGCAGTTTTCCGGTAACCTTTTAATTTAAAGCGATAATATAATAATTATATACTGATAGAACAATATATCAATTGTAGGTCAGTATATCTCTAAAATTTGATCGAGACAAAATATATATTCACAAACAAGAATAGTATTGACTAATAGGAGCCCGCTGTTATAATTCTTTCTGTGATAACGTTGTGCTTTTGAAATTTAAGTTCAGTAAAATTTAAGGACTTTATACATATATATGCTAATGTGTCTTCCCCGTAGTCAATGCCTTATCTCCACAAAAAGATCCTGATGACACTTTAAAATGTAGACTAAGACATTTAATTGATTTAAAATCCAATACAGAAAGATTTTAATTGTAATAACTGAATTTTTCAATTGAGCGTAATTAAGTGCTAGTATTTGAAATAAGCTCATGGATACATGCAAATATACATACATACATATATATATATATATATATATATATATATATATATATATATATATATATATATATATATATATATATATATATATATATATATATATATATATATATATATATATATAGATGGATAAAATGTCAAAATGTAAATAAAGTTGAAGGAAAGATTCCACATGCCTCTAGCGCTAGCGTTAAAGTTATCCTGTTGATTTCCTGTAAATACATAAGCAATTCCTCAATTGCTTTTCTTTTGGGCCTAATTATTTCATCTAATTAAGAGTATTTGATGTCCAAAAATATAAATAAATAAATAAACAACAAGATAACAAATAGTTACTTCCGTGTGGAAGTCCTGAAACGTTTATTTCCGGGTTGCGATTTATATGTATTTTTTTTATAGTCCTCAACAATCTTAGCATTGCATGGTACAGTCACGTCGTCTTAAACAGGTCTGATGTTTCAATTTTGAAGAAATCCGATTGATTTGGATTTTTATAAGTGCTTAGGAGCTGAATGTGATTATTATAATTATTGCTTTCATTAAATAGCCCTTCTTTGTTTACAGCCTTCGTATCATGGATAAAATTGCATACCTTTGTGTCTTTTTAATATACATAAACATTGAAGCGAAATGTTATTTGATTGAGAGCTGTACTTATGATAGGGAAAGAGATGGAGTAAAAGTAAATTGTTCCTCCCAGGAATTCTTAACTGTGCCAGATTTTTGTCAAAATACCCAGGCTGTGAAAACTGTTTCCAATAGAACAATAACTATTGACCCATCTCAAATTATAGAGCTGGACTTATCAAACAACAGTATCGGAAATTTCTCTCAGAATCCATTCTATTGTCTTGAGAATTTAAAAGTTTTAAATCTGGAAAGAAATGAAGTGAAACTTTCAAATGAAAATTACTTTAAAGGATTATTTTCCCCTCTGGTATCATTGCGTTATCTAAATATTAAACACAACTCGGAAGATGGATTTATCAATGACACCGTGTTTGCAGAATTGAAAGAATTAGAAGTTATTCGCATCGACACGCCAAACGGAACAGTTTTTGGAGAACATTTTTCTCAGTTAAGAAGACTGCATATTTTGGATCTTTCAGGAATAAATGGATACTGTTATATTAGACGAATTAAAAACACAACATTTCAATACTTTCCATTTCTGAGTATCTTGGATCTCTCAGCATGCAGAATCAAAAATGTTGATGTTGGAGCTTTTGGTATTTTGGAACATTTATCAGAATTGTTTCTTTCTTACAACATAGAATTAGGATTTGCTAGTTTACAAAACATAACATTTAATCTGCAATATACAAATATCAAGAAACTACACTTGGAAAATATCAGGTGCCTGGGAGGAGCCGACACACAACTGTTTCAGAGTCACCTAGAATACCTTTCAAATACGTCGTTAGAAGAATTAAATTTAGCAGGAAATCGGCTACAATGGATTGGAGAATGCGTCTTACATAATCTCCCCAAAACACTCCAAAACCTGTCTCTGGCAAATAACAGACTATCAGTGGGGATATATTCTGTTGATTATCGCTTATTGGAAGAATTGAAAGTATTTAATGCTAGTTATCAGCTAAACCTACCAAATATAACAACTAAATTATTTCAGAGGTGCGATGAGAATCCAGACATACGTCCTTCTAATTGCACATCAGGCGCACGTGATCAACTCTCTAAATCTAATCCATGCAAAATAAAAAAAGGTCAGGATTTGCATTTGGAGTACAAAAGGGCAAGTAAAATTCATTCTGAACTATATATTACGTTTTATGCACCACCAAAGCTTGAGATTTTGTATTGGACGTCAAGTCGTGTTTTTGGGGTTCTAGGCAAATTCGGGGTTCATGCACCATCCTTAAGAAAAATATTCGTGCAAAACAACATTTGGTACTCATGGAAAGGTCCCGTTTATGGATTGGAGGCGATAGAAGAACTTGATCTCTCTCAAAATTTTTGCTACAATATATCAACAGAATTTTTATCCCATGCTCCTGGTGTGAAAATATTAAAACTCAGAGATAACAATATCGCAAGGAGTTTATCGTCGGATTCTAAAGGATTAATTTTCAGAAGTCAGAGAAACCTGGAATTCTTAGACTTATCTAATAATGATATAGAATATCTACCAGAGGAAATATTCAAAAATAGCACAAACATCAAGCAATTGTTGCTGCAAGATAATAGGCTTAATAAGTGGGGAGTGAAAATAAATCATATGAAAAATTTAACATTTTTAGATTTGTCAGGTAACCGTATAGAGGCCTTTACTTCTACTGACATAGAATATCTTAATCAGCATTTTCAAAGTGAAAATCTAATAGTGGACTTAAGCAATAATCGTCTTTCATGCACCTGCGAAAACATTAACTTTCTTCACTGGATTGTAAGATTTTCTTCTCATTTTAAAGACTTCAGCGAATATTTCTGCTTGGACGAGTTTCGCCATATACAAAATCTTCAGAAATCTTTGTATATTTTAAACAAAAAGTGTAAATCATACCTGATTTGGTATGTAATCAGTTCTATTGGATGTACTTTAGTGGTGACAATAACTGCATGTTACTTAGTTTATAAAAACCGCTGGAAAATACGCTACATACGATATATGGCAGGAAAAAAATTTAGGGGGTATCATCGGCTTCAATCGAGTTGTAGCGTCGGGAATTTTGAATATGACGCATATATATCGTACTCGGCAAAAGATGTATCATTTGTAAAAGAAGAAATGATACCTAACCTTGAAGATGAGAGTGGACATCATATAAGACTAGCAATAATGCATAGAGACATGGAACCTCACGGAGATCACGCAAATAATATAATGGACTACATCAGTCGAAGTAAAAGAACAATTTGTGTTGTTTCCAAGAATTTTCTGGAATCTGACTGGCAGGACTACGAGTTAAATATGGCCAGGATGGAAGGAGTTCAGACAAGAAAAACATTAAATTTTGTGCATTTAATTTTAATGCCAGATGTTTGCAAGACAAGATATCCTCAAAAAGCTAGTGATTTTATAAAGAAGGGTTATTATCAAGAATATCCCGAAGAGCCTTTTGGATATCAAATGTTCTGGGAAACGCTTAGACAAGAAATAGAGAAAGACCTATACATTTGAAATGAACTGTTACTTTGGAAATTGTGTAGCAAAATCACAATAACTTTCTCTTTTCTGAATTTGTGTACTATGTTTTATGTTTTCTTGTTCATGGATTTCAAGCTTCGACAACGAATTTATATTTCAATACAGCGTCATATTTTATTCTGCAAATTTTCCCGTGTCGTTATCTATATGTATCAGAAACATTTATCTAAATGATGTGGAGATCTAGAATATAGTCTGCATTACTTAGGTTTAAATTTTTAGATTATTTAAAATTATTCTAGTAAAATAATGCTGAACTTGTGAAATTTAATAATCTATACTACTATATTAAAATAATAGACTCGAATTTTTGGCCTTTAATACCGATAAATCGGAAGAGTACTGTCTTTTGTTTGATATATGTTAAACATGATTGGTACTTGAAGATTACCAATTTGTTTTTATTTTTTCTCAATTAAGCTTCGCTAATTAATAATCAACGAAAATTCCTCAAAAAATTCCGGAAATCATCTGGTTTTTTGGATTTTACAATCTTGCGCGTGCGCATTACATTCACGCTAAATCAATCTCCCTTGCAGAGTTGTCGTTCGTTTCTCTCTCATACACGAATGTATGAGCCGTTGGTGGAGAGTGTGTTCAAATCAGAGAAGACAAAAGTAAATACTAAGTAGATATATATTTGTTATTGTATAATTTCTCTAATAAGAAATCAGTAATATATATGAACAGAATATATAGCAAATTTCCAATGAAAATTTACACGTATTTGTCATAGGGGTCGGAACCGGGGGGGGGGGTGGAAGGGGGGCTTAGCCCCCCTTTTTTTTTGCAAAGATAGACATAATATAGGCATTGAAAATTGGAGCTTACCTTTTTTCGTTGGTTTAGCCCCCCTCCCCCAACTTTCAAATAGCCACCCCACTTTCAATTTGCTTCTGACGCCTATGTTTGTATTATCGTAATCGTTTCTAAGTTTATCCATACAAATGTGATATTGTGGTCACGTGGGTAATCATTCGCCATCTCGGAGACACATTTATTATATGTTATTTATATCTCTGGCCATCTCAACGGAGGCAAAAAGCTCATGATCGTAGGAGCAACATTAATGTAACTACCCGATTTATTTTATCCCTCCTTTCTTTTATGCTTTTTTGAGGGGAACTAAAAAGGGGAGAGGGGGGGGGGGGTGTTACAACTCCAGTTAGAATCACATCTTAGTGAAGTAGGCATTCTTTTTCCGCTAAAAATTACAATAATAACTACTATATAAAAATTATAGACTCGAATTTTTGGCCTTTAATACCGATAAATCGGAAGAATATTGTCTTTTAATTTATATATTTTAAACATCATTGGTACTTGAAGATTACCATTTTGTTTTTATTTTTTCTCAATTAAGCTTCTATTTTTATTACTTTTTCTATGTACTAATTCAAGGACATTACATTAATTTTTATCAAAAAAGACAGTCTTTTACAGATTATATACCTGTCTATTACCTGTGTATATATAAAGTATATGTATTAACCGTGCTTAACTCTTTTATTGTTGAGGTCATATTTTGGACAAGTTGAGACCTGCAGTGTTAAATTTGTTACAAAAATTTTTACACCTTTACTTTAATAACTGATTGTGTAAAAATACCAGCTTAGCACATTTCTTCATTTCATTACTTTGCTTGATATGTATCAGCAGTGTGCTCAACTCTTTGCTGTTGTCATATTTTCAATGAACATCCATAATTTCTTTTATTAAATTTGTTTGGAAGGGTGAAATTTATGTAAGCTCCGGCGTGATTCTAACTCAAGACTTGATTTATAGCTAACTGGTGATCAAACCCATTCTGCGCTACGCTGTTACGCAACAATTAAAAAAAAAAACAAAACAAACACCAAAAAAAAAAAAACAAACAAACAAACAAACAGAATGATATTTACATTCATTGTTTATCTAAAAAATACCTTACAATATGAATGTGTCGATGTATCTATTTTGTAAATGTCCGATATGCACATGGGTGCATTCATAACAATGTCAACCCGTGCAAGCACGGGTCAAAGTCTAGTAATTAATAAATCAAGGGCTTGTACTTTAACAGCATTAGGGATTCTGTTAAACTATATTCATATATTTTCAATAGGTTCAAATAGCTGATGAGCAGGTCAATCCAACTTGAACATGACATTATTTCTACTAGGATGAAACCAAGTCTCTCGTGTACTTAAGCATTGACATGTTAAAGTCAACAGAAACGGGAACATGTCATACATGCAGACTACAGTGTTGTGTTGAACAGTTTAGAAATCATAAAGCCACCACTAACATAAGTGCAAGTGAGTCGTCAAGAACTGAACCACTGAAGGACTTTTCTGTTGGATTATGTTGGACTACAAACTGATTATTTGACAAAGGAATCCATCTTGATGCTTGTTGGCTACCATTGATGTGAAGTTAAACATTTATTATCCCAATTACTTTTACATATCCTTGATGATATGAGACATGTATCTTGTTGAAATTAAATTAAAAAAAAATATATGATTTGTTCGAATTGTTTTCTGAAATTGACAGTTTATGTTCAGTGATGGAGGTATGGCCAATCTGCTGTAAATAGAAAAAAACATTACATTAATGAAAGACATTACATTAATGATCTACACTAATGGCAGGGCTTGAAGAAGCAAATAATAAATTTTGTTTTAGTTTTCAACTACCATCATGAAAAAATGCCAAGTAGAATCTTGACAAATAGTAAAAAATATCAACTCTTAATTTATCTAATGTGGAAGCTGAGACTATATATATTGAACTTTCTTCAAGTTTCCACAATGCGAAACCATAGTATACTAATTGTATATCAAATGTTTAGACAGGCTGAAACCATTCATGTACTTCAAGTTTCATCAAGATTCTGCAATGCGGAAACCATAGTATGCTGCATGTATATCAACTGTTTATGCATGCTGAAACCTTACAGATTCTTCAAGTTTCATCAAGTTTCAGTTGCAGAAACCATTTGGATTTGTGGACACCTTAAGTTTCCGCACTGCGGAAACTTAATGAAACTTGAAGTTTCAGTACTGAAACTTTGCGGAAACTATTAGTAAGCTTAAGTTTCCGCAGAGTTTCAGCAGTGTTTCAGCCATGCGGAAACTGTTTTTTTTTCATCCAGTGAGAATATAGTCTGCATTACTTAGGTTTGAATTTTTGTTATATCTTGTAAACCTTAGAAAAATGTTTACCTTATCTTTAACTTTATAAAAACCTTTAGAGATCAACATTTTAGTATTTTATTTGAGAAGTATTCTGCCAGGGCAAAATGTTCAATGATTTAAATGGCTTATACAGATAAAACAACTTTAGTAATCGAAGGTTAAGGCATTTTTATGATTATGAAAATGTCAAGTCATAGAACAAACTAAAAGTAGTATGAAGTTAGAGTTACTTAGTTCTCATTCTATTTTGTCATAATTATTTGAATTATAATTTTTTGGAAAAAAAAATAGCGATAAGAAAACAGAGGAATTTTACAATTAATTAGGGAAAGTTACTTTCATAACGCGTATAATTCCAGCCTTTTGCAACCCTTTCTTTGTTAAATGTTCCTTAATGGCCCACACATTTGATACGGTATTTTCGGTAAAAAAAAAAAAAGGAGTTACAAAACTGAAGTCCAATACTTTCCACTATTTCAAAAGAAAACTTCAGTTTTTTAAGTAAACAGTGGTATAAATCTTGCTCTAAAAATTAAAAAAAAAAGCAGCAGAAGTTAATGTAATGGAAATTGGTAGTGATTTGAACATACAGTTTTCTTTGGAAATTTTACATTTATCCTTTCTATAAACATACAAGCTTCATTGAAAGTGAGTCAGTATCGTTGAGCTTATACTGCATATATGCAAGTTTTTGTGTCTAAAAGTAAAAAAAAAAGATTAAACGTATATATGATAATATTACCTGAAATTACTAACACTAAATATGAAGAGTTGTTATGAGAAAAACCATATATATTGCCACATATAACAATGACAATGACAACACTTCGACTTTAATGAAACATTGATTATTGTAAATTGGATGAAAGTAATTTCGACGTTTTATTTTAAAGAGACTATTAAAATCATTCTAGCTGATAGAAAACATATCTTAAAAAAATTTTCATCATTATTAAAAAGATGCTTTAGTTTCTGATTGACAATATCTCTGTGTGGTTGTTGGAGATCATGTCTTCCACAATCTATTGGAATTCCCATGGATATGTGTATGTGTGTGTATGTGAACAGGGAATGCTTACTCCCCCCTTGACCTCTGATCCTACCTTTAGGGGTCTGTATTTTTTGTACATGTAATTATTACAGATTGGTATCGTTTGTGGAATTTTTAAAGATCTTATCTGCACATTTTTTTGCATGTTAATGCACAGCTAGACTGTATTTTTTCAAAGTATACATACATATGTGTAATAGTGTAATAAATATGCATTTCGTCGGGACTGGGGGTGGGGCTATGGATTTTTTTTCTCTTCAATCACCCCCCCCCCCCACCACTTTCAATTTGCTTCCAACGCCTGTATCTCTTATCAATATATAGAGAATAATACATGCCATACATGCCATAAAATATCTGTATCATATCCTACATCAAACCGATGTGATTTACAATTGTTACATTTATAAAGAAAATTTGTTGGATGTGCCATTAAAAGCTCTAAGCGACAGTTTCAGGATTAGTTATTTGACTGGTTCCTTGCATAAGTATTAACAATGCTACGCCCGTGAGTATATTTGGTATAAAACTACAAATTCATCAAGACATGATTTATATCTAAAACCTGTCTCGTTTTTATTTCATTTTGAATATGAACTACTTTGCAGATTTTCATTAAACAATGACAGTCAACTAATTGTCTCGAATTATTTTAAGTACTGGACTGCTTTTGATAAATGCCAGATTTCATTTATCCTATTTTTTTTTAATTATAAGACTATCAGTAGGAAACATTACTTCAG